AAATCATTTACCTTATCGGGAATGCGATTCAAAAGAGAAATGATTGCCATTCAAAAGTTTTTTTATATTCAATATGTGAATCAATTGAGGCGGGGAAAGAGGAAATCATTTATTCGTTTATATAGCGCATATTTACATAAACAAATATGGTGCTGTAAATTTCACTCGTAAAGCTTTCATCGCGTCGAATAAGATGAGCGCGAGTGGTTTTATGTTGCAAACTTAATTTTACGACATGTGGTGAGACTTATATCGTAAGATATACTTGTCAATATGTGCAGATAATCGTTTACGATAAAATAATATCCGAAGAGGATAACCAACGTTTATATTCATACACGGATGATTTAAATCTGAATCAAATGTGTCGATTACACATGCTGGTCTCTATTATACTTACCATCGATAAAATAGTATTAAAGACCGAACGGCTTGGGATATATATGCAATTGGGAAACCTTACATGTTGATTGTCAGTAATGTCATAATATAATACATTGCATCGATTTAAATTAGAATCATCAGAGAGAAGCCTGAGAGGGGTCACGCCGCCGTTTTTCATAAGACGCTTTTTCTAGCTGATACAGTAGTGTCAACTAAATCCATTTTAGAGCTGGCGAAACTACATGGCCAGATTTACTTTTCGATGCCACGAGAAAACAACTGGTTGGTGCATGTGCGTGTTAGATCCATAATTGTGGATCAAAATTGCGGAGAAATATTATGGATTTATTAATGTTTTATTAGCTGTGCGTGATGTTTTGTCATTCTAGTATATATTTCGGACAGCGATAATAAGTTATTGAAGTATTTTTATATGCGCATAAGACATAAAATAAATTTTCTTAAATAAATTTTCCTAATAATTTTTTCTCTAATTTTTAAATATAAAACGTGTAGAAGATATTTACAATAAATTGCTTTTACTTTTTTCTTATTATTGAAATAAAATTATCAAGCATTTTAAGCAATCTTAAATTATGCTTTTAATTCATATAGCTTTTTATATTTAATTATTAATTTATTATTAATTATATCATTTAAGTAATTTTTTAATTTATAGATTCAGTTGGATGCACTAGTGCGCACTGATGCACATTAAAAGCTATTATATATAAATTTATATAAGCATAAATAGTTCAGAGCAAAAATAGTGTTTAACAGAGTGCATTTATAAAATATATAAAAACATTTATAAAATTTTTATATTTTTTATATTTTTGAATGTAATTTTATTCGATTAATAAGAAATTTGCAAATGAAATGACATAAAAAAATGCGACATTATTCGGTTAAATCTCAATTAGAAAATTTGAAAATTAGATAAAATATTTTAATTAAAAATCTCATTAATCCATAAAAATTATTTTCAAAGAATTACTTTCTAAAATAAAACATAAATGTTTTAGTTTTTATTACATAAGATTTTTGAATATTATAAATAAATTATTATAGATAAGTAAAGATCTCTGATGTCATCGAAAGCGAGAGCGAGAACGAATAAAGAGCAAGCGAGCAATTTTTATTATAGTTAAATATGTAACCAAAATTTTCATTATTAGTTTAGTTAAAAATTACCCGATTTATGTTGTGTTTGATATATCATTTTTATTCGTTTCAACAAGTTTCGATAGTGATTCAACGACGACTGCCATACGCCTTTTCAAAGTCGAATCACGAAGTTAATTTAAATAATATATTTGAAGGGAAAATATATTTCTTTCTTTTCGTTAAATGTTCTTCCATCATTATTAATATTAGTATATTATTGTCTTAATGTGCTAAAAAGATTTAGTAGTAGGTTGAATATGGATATAGCTAATGTATATAGACAAATTTATATTTTTTAAACAATTTCAAAATGCAATCAATTTGCCTGTTTCTATTGACTTTTTTTTATACAAAAAAATTATAGTTACGAACGAATATATTTTATTAATTATTTTTAATATAATTTTCAATCTTTTTTTGTTGTTTCAAAAAACTTTTATATTTTTTTTAAATATTATGTTACAAAATATTATGTATAAATGTAACGTGAAATGTGCGTATACTTCAAAACTTTGAGACAAATCGAATGGGTACCCTGATATCAGTGAAATATCGGCAAATTAATGTATTTAAGTGCTACAGAACAAGATTAATTATAGCTTAGAATTATTATAATTATGCTTGACATTATTTTGATTCATTTTATGTGTGTTGCAAAGTATTCAAATTAAATTTTTTTAAATTTCGCTGTTATCGGGTTCGATTCGTCTCGAATGGTTGGTACCCGAAAATTATTTGTACTCGCACATTTAACTCGCACTAGCTACAATAACGCAATACATGTATTTTATTATCCATAAATATAATCGTTCGTAATAACATTTTCATAAAAATTGTTATATCCATTTAATTTTCAATAAAGAGATATATTTCTTAATAATGGAAGAATACATTTTCTCGCGCGAATTTCAATCTCGTGAATTAAAGATAATGTCAATGGTAACTGTCGTTGATTCGTTACCGAAATCATTGCTATCGGGAGCAGTCCGGAAGATCCGGGATTCGTTCCTTCCTACAGCGGGATTCCTTATATTCAACGGATCATTTAACTTTTCTTTGCGGATTGATCTTGCGAGGTCCAATGTAGAAACAAGAATTTGATTGTTTTCAACCTTTAAGATTGTTCTTGTCTTTGTCGGATATTAACCAGCGTGTTATCTGGCGGAGGGATCTTGATCCGGTCAAATCGTTGAGCCAGTTATCCTTCACTGAATGCGGCGATAACGCGCAGTTTTTTTTATAACGGTATTTTAAGACTTATATGATTTTATTCTGTTTAGTAAATCCTCCGCGAAACGGTACATATGTCTTATTCTCAATCGCGACATTTAACTTAATTTAATTTAATAAAATCACGCATTTGAAAATAAATCGGGCATTAGATTTTATATTGAAATTGTATACAAATATCCTATATTACAGACGCGATTATAAAAAGCCAAAACGTCCGTCGAAATATTTTCGTTTAAGTATGTAGTAATTATGTTGTTTCTCCGATTGCATGTATATTGGAATCGCGAATATTACGGCTATCGTCGATTTATTTATTCGTCACGTTTTTTTCGCAAATTTTAAATCGCGGTTTATCTTGTGATTTAATCGTTGATTTACATCGAAGCTT